GGACCCAGGGCCTAATTGCAGGTTGGCGTGGATACTCTATGCAGGTGGCCCTCTCCCCACAGAACCCATGATGGACTTTATTCTTCAACTGCTGGATGCGCCTGGCTGGCATGGCTCAGTAGCTGAGTGTCTGCCTATGAACTAGGGGTCACAGTTCGATTACCAGGGAGGGCACATGCGCTGGTTACAGACTTGATCTCCAGTATGAGGTGTTCAGGAGGCAGCTGATCAATGATTCTCCCTCATCTCTCTCTCCTCTCCCTTCACACACACACACACACACACACACACACAAGCCTAGGTGGCCCTTGTGTGCAACTTCATCACAAGATGGTCGCCACAAAGATGGCCATGTTCACAGCAGTGGAGGGGCCCAGCAGCCACTCCTTGCAGTGAGGCCTGGGGGGTTCCATAACTCCGTGTGGTGTGGAGGAGGCCAGTCCCGGCAGAGGAGACAGGTTGTGGCAAGGGAGGGCAGTTAGGGGCAATCAGGCTGGCAGGGGAGCAATTAGATGTCAATCAGGCTGGCAGGGGAGTGGTTAGGGGGTGATCAGGCTGGCAGGCAGAAGTGGTTAGGGGCAATCAGGCAGGCAGGCAGGCTAGCGGTCAGGAACCAGCAGTCCCAGATTGGAGAGAGTGCAGGCTGGGCTGAGGGACATGAGTTTTGTGCATTTTGGTGCATGAATTTTGTGCACTGGGCCACTAGTATATACATACATACATGCATGCATACATACCTGTTGGATGCACTTTTTAAAAAGTGAAATTGAGGGAATGATTGGATGGGGGTTTGCAAAGATGAGAATGATGCCTGGGCCTTCAGGGATCAAGAGGGAAGTTTTTTCTTGGGTCTGTACAGAGCTAGTGTGTTTGCTTATAGAGGAACCCTCTCAGGAGCTCGAGTTCTTTTTATGTCTGAATACAGTTCATCCTCCAGCCACCTTAATTTTCTTAAGGACACAACCCGAGCATTCACTCCCATCTCCCAGGTGACAGATTACCGTCTTGCTCCCCCTAGTGGGAATACTGTGTCCAGACATGCTTGCTTCAGCATCTTATTTGTGGAAATCAGGTATCTTCTCCATTTGTTCTCAAAGACTGAGGTTAAAATCGAGAAACATTGCATTGCATGGGCTGATGGGGAATGGGTATGGAGACACTGGTATTTTGCAGATACATTTCTAGTTTCTAGTGGTAGCAAGGCTAGCCACGTCCTTCAGAGTGGCTGCCAACTTCAAGGGACGCCTCTGCCTTGCACTTCTCCGTTGGAGAGGGGTCAGATGTCACCAGCTGTGCAAAGAGGGTTGTGCGGATAGAAGGTGAGGTTGGAACAGGACAGGTCCCGTCTGAAGGCTGACGCCCACCTGCGCCATCGGTGAGGCAGGCACAGGAGGTGTTCCTGTGCCTCTGAGTCTACCTGAGGGGCTGTGACAATATCCATAGCACCTGGCCCTCATTGCCAGTTCATAGCAGCGGAGCAGGCCAAGGAAGTTCTCCTAATAGAAGCTGAACTTCCTGCAGACCTCCCTTAAGAGTGTGCATTTCTTTTTTTTTTTTTTTTTTTTTTTTTTAACATTGAATTTATTGGAGTGACATTGGTTAATAAAGCGATACAGCTTTCAGGCATGCAGTTCTTCCAAACATCACCCGTAAGTTACGTTTCTGTAGGGAACGATAACTGGAGGTTTCATGGCATCAGACTCTCTCTTTGTCTCCTGCCACTATTTGCTTTCTGTAACTTTGACCCTTGCTGTGAATTGGGATCTATCCGCTTTGTTCCGGCTGCACCCGAAGCACTCCTGTTTCGCGTTTGCTAGTGTTGCACGTTGAAACTTCAACTAGAAAAGCCGTGCGTGCCCAGGCTTAGGACCCTACTCTTTCTCAGGGAAGACTTTGCTTCTAAGCCTTATAAAGGCCAAGGCGAAAGCGCCAAAGACATAGCGGTTTCCAATCAGTGATCAATACAGTCTAAGTGCTTTACACTCATGAGCAAGGATGCTGTTCTTAGCATAGTTCCCCTTCCTTAAAATTATGTAATTGAGACAGTATTTTTTAAAAATGTATTTTATTGATTTTTTACAGAGAGGAAGAGAGAGGGATAGAGAGTTAGAAACATCGATGAGAGAGAAACATCGATCAGCTGCCTCTTGCACCCTCCCTCCTGGGGATGTGCCAAGGTACATGCTCTTGACCAGAATAGAACCTGGGACCTTTCAGTCCGCAGGCCGACGCTCTATCCACTGAGCCAAACCGGTTTTGGTTGAGACAGTATTTAGATCTATCTTTCCCCAAGTATTTATTCCCAGAGTAGTCGTTTATACTTAGGAAAAAAGAAGTCAGCAGGATCAGATTAAAACCCCAGTTTGAGAATGCCAGCGTGCTTGCTAGGCATGTTGTATTTGGGGACGTGGAGAGAGAGAAAAGAAACACCCCTATGTCTGTTTTTAAAATATACATTTTTATTGATTTCAGAGAGAAAGGGAGAGGGAGAGAGATAGAAACATCAATGATGAAAGAGAATCATGAATCGGCTGCCTCCTGTACGCCTCCTACTGGGGATCAAGCTCACAACCCCGGCCTGTGCCCTGACCAGGAATGGAGCCATGACCTCCTGGTACCTAGGTTGACGCTCAACCCCTGAGACATGCAGGCTGGGCCCATTATGTCTTTAAAAAAAACCACATTAACTTGCTCAAAAGTCACAGTAGTTTAGTTCAAGGATTACATCCTTGCAAACACGCAGCTTCCGTTCAAGCAAAGCATGTGGCGGTGAAGCTCTGGTTGGGAGCCGGTGACGCCTGGGGTCATGACTGTGAGGACGAGGATGTGGCAGCGGCCCTGTGGCCCCGCTGGGGCTGGAGGCTGCATCTGGCAGGACGTGGGGGAACAGGCACTTTCCTATTCCTCGGGGAGCGTGAGGGTTTGTATGTGAATGGACACCTACCCCCGTGTACACACACACACACACACACACACACACACACACGGGTGTAGATGCCTGTGCAAACACAGGCGTGTCCGTGTGGGTGTATCTGTATGTGCACCTGTGAGTGCAGAATGGAGGAGTTCCAACAGTAGCTCGGCTTCTCCTTCCCAGTGGATGCCGGGAGTTGTGCACACTGACAGCCCCCTCCACAGTGGAGCCACCCGCGTGTGGACAGGTGTGCACCCCGCCCTCTGCTGGGACTCGGGGCATTGGGGATGCCCTTGAGGCAGGCCCAGGGCGGTGCCCAGGGCGTGGGGAGCTGTCCGCACCCTCCCTGTGGAGGGCTGAGCTGGCCTCCCTGCCTGGCAGCCTTGTGGGGTGTCATTCCTGGGAACAATCCAGCTGTGGCTGGAGCCCTGGCCTTTCCTGAGAAGTGCAAAGACCGAATGCCACAGTGTCGTGTTCCTTTCTGCCACTGGCGAGGGAGAGACAGGCTTTCTCCCCTGGCTGCGTCCTTAGGGTGATGCCCCGAGGTGCGTCACTGCTGGGACGGGCTTGTCCCTCAGCACCTGAACTTCTCAACTGCTGACTCCACGCCCAGATCCTCGGGGCTCTGCCTCTGCTTGCCATCTGCGGCTACTGGGCGTGGCGATTTGTTTTCTCTTGGGGTTCAGAGGCGGGAAAGTGCACGTGAGCACTTGGCCCGGATCGCAGCAGGTAGAGGATTATGAGACAGATAAACGTGATTCAGTATTTTTGTTGAGCTCAGTGGGTGTGGCTCAGTGGTTGAGCATTGACCCACGAACCAGGAGGTCATGGTTCAATTCCTGGTCAGGGCACATTCCTGAGTTGTGCGCTTGATCCCCAGTGTGGGGTGTGCAGGAGGCAGCCGGTCAATGATTCTCTCTCATCGCTGATGTTTCTATCACTCTCTCCCTCTCTCCCCCTCTGAAATCAATAAAAAATAAAAATAAAAATATATAAAAAGAAAACATATTGTTTGTGTAGGGTTATATGGCTGTAGAGGGGTTTCCCATACATATCTCATTTCTTCCTGGTAACAGTCCTGTGAGGGGCTGGGCCGCAGAGAGCGTGCGCACCCCGGTGGCACTGAGAAAGGAGCTGAGGCGTGGAGCTGGCTTTCCACAGGGTTCTCACCCCTTGGACAGGCCCAGCGCCAGCCCTGAGCCCACCCTGGGGCCTCTTGTTCTTCGCACTCGGGTGGGCAGAATTTCAGACGTATCAGCTCTTTGTGTCTTTGTCTCCGCACCTCTGACCCTGCAGGCCCCCAGGTCTCGCCTGGCCTGCCCTTCCCATGCTCATGAAGGTGCTTCCTGAAGCTTGTCTGGACGCCTTTCCTCACCTGCCTGCCCTGGCAGAGCTGGGTTCACTTACAGCTGTATAGATCATCACACTCTACAGACCCCACTACGCACTGGGTCTTGCTTGATGCGGGTGAGGACAGTAGGAAGTGCTGAGTATCGGCTGCCTTCCTGCTCCTCACCTGCCTCCATCCTACAGCCTGTGGGTAGGCGGTGGGTGTGATTGAGTCTAAAATACTCAGTGCTTGTTGGTAACGTGATGGGAAGTGCTCGGGAATGATGTCCAAGGTTCCCCAACATGGACACGGAAGCGCTGAGGAGGCCAGCAGCACGGCTGCTAACATCCTGTGGGAATGGATTGTTTGAGGAACGGAGCACCAGGGACATTGCCCAATGAGAGGTGGGGGGGTCACGGGGTACCGTTTACACAGAACCGCAGATTTGGTCCTTTCCACGATGGGGAAGTTCAGGGCCTGTCAAGGACAATTTCAACTGTTCCCACAATTTCCACAGTTTTCGTGTCACACCAATAGCCCCAGGTCAGGCGTGACTGTGTCACAGCCTCCACATCGTGTTACAGATATTTCTTTATGCATCTGTCTCCCCACTAGACTCCCAGGGAGGGGGCCTGGGGCCTGTCTATCTGACCGTGCTGGATTCACTTTGGGGAACACATTTTCCAGCCTCCTGCCTCTGCCTGCAGTCGAATGTATTTAATCACAGTTGTGACTCAGACTCTTCTGCCTTTGCAGCCGCCGCTGGTCCAGGCCATCTTCAGCGGCGACCCGGAGGAGATCCGGATGCTTATCCACAAGACGGAGGACGTGAACGCTCTGGTAGGCGACACTGGGCTCCTGCCCAGCCCCTTACCTTCCCCAAACCCTGGCCTCCTCAGGAGCTGGCGAAAGCTAGGACTGCTTCTCAGAAATCTGTTTTTAAATCTGCAAAGTGAAATGTCTAGGGTTAGAAAGGAAACCAGTGACACTGAAGTACAGTTATCAAAACATAGAAATCACATTTGTGATAGAGTAGATGTGCTTCTCCAGCAACGCATTTACGAAGCAAGATGCAGCAGAAGGTCCAACAGTGGCCGTAACTCAAGTATAGGACGAGCACGATTGCGCTTCTGCGTTGAGTGGAAGTGCTCTGATGTGGGGTGAGCGTGCCTGGGATTTCTGCTGGAGGCCCAGCACTGTTACTGCCGACACTGCTGAGGTTTGCTGCCTACGTTCAGCATGGAAGTTAGTGAAGCCCTGGCTGGTGTTGCTCAGGAATGAAAGTGTTGGTTTTTGTATCAAAGGGTCTCAGGTTCAATTCCTGGATAAGGGCGCATACCTGGGTTGCAGGTTTGACCCCAGACCCTGGTTGTGGAACGTACAGGAGGCAGCCAATCCATGTGTCTCTCTCACATCAGTGTTTCTCTCTTTCTCTCTCTCTCCCTTTCCCTCCCACCCCCTTTCCTCCTTTCCACTGTCTCTAGAAATCAATGGAAAAATATCCTCGGGTGAATCTCAAAATGTAATATTTTTGTATCTGGAACCCATGCCTACAGCTGTGGTCTGTCATCAGTTTTTGTACAGACTACTGACGAATGATAGCTTTTTATTTTTGAAATGGCTGAAAAAAGGAAAAGCTTAATATTTAGTGACGTGAAAATTATATGAAGCTCAGAGTCTATAAATAAAGTCTTGTGGGACACAGCCAGGCCAACGTTTGCTCTGCAACGAAGAGCTGAGTAATTGTGATGGGGACTGTGTGTGGCCCCAATGCCAGACCCGGTACAATCTGGCCCTTGAGAAGGAGTGGTTGCTGACCTTTGCCCTGGAGTATGCATGAGCCCGGGATCACGGATGAACTAGGCATGCTGTGTGTGCCTGACATCATGTGTCATGTACGTGTGCACCTGTGGGCATTTATATTTTTCTGTGAAAGGGTCGAGACATTGTACCAACTTAGTAAAAAGGTCTATGGCTCTAACAGGTGAAGAACATTGTACTGGGACGACCTCAAAGCCAATGAACCTGCGATGAAGAAGGAGTTTATCAATCATTTATCCTTTGAATCGTTGCCTAGACCTGGGTGGGACAGGCAATTACATGCAATACGTGCTGCTAATTCTCTTAATGTAACTCGTTACCTAAGTGCCGGTCCATTGGGGAGGGAGCTCGCTCGCTCTGAAGTCTCTGGTGCTGAGTAGAAGCAGCTGAAAGAGTGGAGCTGATGTGCCCTGCTAGGGGGACTCTGCCCGGGGAGTGAACTGTCCGTGGGTGCATCCCTGCCCGATCGATCAGCCGAATGCTTCGTTCAGAAGGTGGGCTGTGGGGTACGGCCTCGCTCTGGCTGGGCAGGTCGAGGTGGCTTTTTGAAAGAGCCTTTGGCAGCTTCTCCCCTGACAACAACGGGCAGTGTTTTGTGGCATTTCTGGAAGGAAGCACAGATGAGGCCAGGGCCACAGAGCCCGAGAAGGCAGTCGGGCATCGGTCCAAGACCTGCGGGGCAGGACTCGTGTCTCTGAGGGTCAAGGCAAGCCGTGCCCTGACATCACCGGAATCTGCCCTCGCGCTCTGTGGCTGTGGCCCAAGCCCGGGCCAGCCAGAGGCAAGGTTCCCATCTTCCTCACGGTCATGCGCTGACAGGACTTTAGTTGTCAGACATGCCGAGAAGGATTGTCCTGGCCTCTGAATGGCCTCTGTCCCCTTAGGAAAGGGACAGTCACAGGCTGGCACAGGTGAGGAGAGCTTCGGTTTAGCTGTAACTTAGTTCTACTGGATCAGAAAGGTTAGCTGCTGTGACACGTAGATGCCCAAAGAGGAGAGAAGGCTGGCTCTCCTGTGAACATGTCAGCGCGATGCTGCAGGCAGGGCTCCAGGTGTCAGCCTGTGGCTTCCAAATTCACCCGAGGGGTTCAGCTTCAGGCCAGCTAGAGGGGAAAGCTTGGGAGCAAAGCCTGGGAAGGCTGTATGGGTCATCTCAGAAGCAGTCAGTCACTTCCACTCCCCCCATCCCCATCCACCGAGCTCAGGCATAGCCGCAACTAACTGCATGAAGGGGGGGGGCGGGTTGAGTGATGAGCGTAGCCGTGTCCCCAGTTGGAGCAAAAGGACTCTGGTGAATAGTTAGCAATTTTTAAAAATTTCTTTATTGATTAAGGTATCACATATTTGTCCTCAACACCCCTAATCCAATCCCCCTCCCCATCCCACTCATGCCCCCACCCCCCTATTGTCCTTGACCACTGTTAGGCTCATAAGTGTGCTCACAAGTCCTTTGGTTGATCTCTCCCTTTTATCCCCACCCTCCCTCTGAGGTCCAACAGTCTGACCCACGGCTCCTTATCTCTGGGTCTGTTCCTGTTCATCAGTCTATGTTGTTCACCATAGTTAGCAATCTTGGTCACACCAATCTTGGGTCTTCCAGAGTTCTAGGGAATTTGAGCGATCACCACTTTTCTGTGCAGTGTGTTCTTTTTTGGTTTATTTTGAACATAAGTTTTTATTGATTTCAGAGAGAGAAAGGGAGAAGGGGAGAGAGACAGGGTATCAAAGCAGCAACCCAGGTATGTTCCCTGACCGGGCGTAGAACCCGCAGCCATTTTTTTGGTGAATGGGAGGATGCCGTAACCAATTGAGCCCCCTGGCCAGGACGACTCGAAAGATTTCAGAAGGCTTCAACAGACCAGCCATATTGAGCTCAAGATAGAACATCTGAATTAAAAATGAACGCAGAGATTCTGCAAACCAAGACAGTAACCCAGTCACGGCATTTTGGGGTTTATGCTTTGACAACGTGACGTCACAGACAGTTTTCTGTGCTACAGGGGGACGAGGGAGGCAGGCGCGGGGCAGCGGCACGTTGGCCCCTGTCACGGGCGAGTGGTGAGGATGGAGCGGTGGGGCCCAGGCCATGTGAGGAGTGCTTGGAGGACTGTGTGATGTTTTGAGCTTGGAAGGGAGAGGAGGATGTTCCCAGCTAGTTCAAACACTGTTTGGTCCCAGGGACTAAACTTAACCATCATGTCACGTGGTTGTGAGCTCCAGAAAGTAATATTTCAGCTCAAACTATGAAAAATCACTTAGTGGACAGAGCTGTCTGAAGGAGTAACTAGTTGCCTTGACAAGTAATGAGCTCCCGGAAGACCACTAGACGGGGTTCTCACGGTGCTAATCACAGTGCATACGGCCCCACTGCCCTAGCTCGTGCCCTTGGCCAACATCGCTAATGAATCATGACTTTTTTCTTCGACTCTTAAGGACCAAGGTTTCCCCTAGCCCCGTGGTCGACAAACTGCAGCTCACAAGCCACCTGCGGCTCTTTGGCCCCTTGAGTGTGGCTCTTCCACAAAATACACGGCCTGGGGGAGTATATTTTGAAGAAGTGGCGCTGGAAGAAGTTTAAGTTTAAAAAATATGGCTCTCAAAAGAAATGTCAATCGTTATACTGTTGGTATTTGGCTCTGTGGATTAATGAGTTTGCCAACCACGGTCCTAGCCCATCACCATGAAATTGGAGTTGGCCTGTAAATGGAAATGTGTTTTCCATGCCTGGCCTAGCTGATGTGGAAGACTACAATTCCAAGATTTGTAGGTCCCGTGTGAGAGTAAACCCATAATGTTATTTGTTTTTTAAAGTATTACTAACAGAAATGAATGCACACACACACACACACACACACACGCACACATGCACACATGCACCACCATTATCATACCAAGTAAAATGAGCAATAATCCCTTAACATTATCTAATACCCAGTGTATATTCAACTTTATTTTGTTCGACTAGCCTCAAAAAAGTCTTTTTACACTTGGGTTGTCCCCAAGTTGCCCCCGTCTGTTTTGTGAAGCTATTAATGTTTATTATGACAGTAGGTTTGGCACTTCGCTTCCTCTCCCCACCTCCAGGGCGGGAAGAGATGCTATGTGAATATTGTAGAGTAAATCCTGAGGTGGAAGCTAAGCTTCTGGGGGCAAAGAACTTACAGAGGAAAAAACCTTAGAGCTGCATTTTGGATGCCGGGCATTGATTCAGGTGATAGTGGCTGCTGAGGTTCCAAGTGAGAAAAAAAGAAACCATATCACCATTGTATGATGAGGGGACTTTCAAAAGCACAGGACAGATTGTCCCCAGTGAACTCATAATTTGTTCGCGTGCATCTGTGTCTCAGAATGGTCAGACAGTAAGTCTAATCAGTATCCATGACCACAGAGTTACATTTTTTTTCTTGTGATGAGAATTTCAAATATGCAATATGGTGTTATTAACTACAGTTGCCATGCTGTATATTACACCCTCATGACTTATTTATAGCTAGAAATGTGCCCTGTTTCTTTTAAAAATAGAATGTTTTATTTTTTCCATCACCATTTATCGCCTCTATGCCCTCTTCCATCTCCACACTGCTGTCCATGCCCCCAAGTTCTCTTTGCTTAATCCCTCCTACCAAGTAAAAATGGAATATATTTTTTGATCCACCCAGAAGGGTGCACTGTGACTTTACCGAAGTGATACATTTAATATCTTCTTTGAATTTTTAAAAAAATATATATTTTATTGATTTTTTACAGAGAGAAAGGGAGAGAGATAGAGAGCTAGAAAGGTCGATGAGAGAGAAACATTGACCAGCTGCCTCTTGCACACCCCCCACCGGGGATGCGCCCGCAACCAAGGTACATGCCCTTTACCGGAATCGAACCCAGGACCCTTCAGTCTACAGGCCGATGCTCTACCACTGAGCCAAACCGGTTTCGGCTCTTCTTTGAATTTTTCACAGCTTCATTCTTCTATGTCCAGAATTAGACTCAAGTGTATATGGACTTTTGGTATAAAACAAAGGAAG